CTGAGCTCAGCTAGTGTGTTTTACATCTGAAGTCACATTTCTGATTGGTAAGAATTTAGTTCAGAAAGAATGCAGATGCCTTCTTCCCCTACTCCACCAAGCACTGACCCCTCCCCCCCCCCTTGGCAGTCCTATTCAGCTTACACTGTCAAATAGAAAATATGAGAGATATGAGAAGTATTTTTCTTTTCTTTCTCGCCAACTACTCTTAAATTATGGTATTCCCTCTGTACCCTGCTCTAGAATGCAACCTCAAAACAGTAAAGGTAACGCCAGTAGTTTAACAACTGGTACTTTAACATCTCTAAGAAGTGAATGCATGAATACTTTTCTGTGCATTCAACCGTAGAGGCCCGGGCGTCTTCCTGCTGTGACATTCTCTTTCGTCTCGCTGACAGAACCCACATCTCACTGTATCCGCATTCTCGCTGAGCAAATCATAACTTCAAACTCATGCCGTGCACAAACGATCCCTGGGACGTCACGGCGTTCAACTGAGCCGTGGCTGATGATGATGCGCTCGGAGGCCCGGCCAAGTCAAGTCACATAACTATTGCATGCGAAGTGGCCTCGCTTGGTTGCTTCTTGATTCTTGGCTCAGACCGCTGATGTGACAGAAGATTAGACTGGGTTGTCGCAAATTGCAGTGAAGTGTAACAACTGGAATGAAACTGGTACATATGCGCGTTTGCCTCATTGTACTCGAAAGATCAGGATCAAACTCTTGATTTATGCTTTTATTACTAAGGGTGCAAAATGCCAGTGGTCAGCTTTTGCACAGATATTGGAAGCACAGCAGCTATCTCATAAGCAGTTTTATGAGCCCTTACACTGAACGAGATAAATTGCTTGTTGTAAAGTGCAAGGGAGGTGACTGCTTCAGTCAGACTTTGTACTGTACGTGCGCATACACGCAAGTACTCGAGCCCCATTTGACAGACATGTCAAGCAATCATGTCATGACTTCAGGAGTTTATGTGCTTTGCAGAATTCCGCAGTGAATGCTGCAGTTGCATTATTTGCAGTATTCATTGTATAACATTTTGGCTGATAACCCATTTCCGCTGAGCGAATCTTTTCTGTGCTTATCAGCTCCTTGAAATCTGTCTCTGATGTCGGCTCATGGTTGCCTGTTGGAACTCGGTAAGTCTCATGTGGGTTGAAAATCGTTCTTGATTTGGAAAGAGCCTGATTTAGTTATACTTCCTCCAAACACCTATTCATGATGCATGAAAGGTGATTATTCCAATTTCCATTAGGACCAGAACTTCTGAGCTGCATTCCTGAAATAGTAGCCTTTTTCAGCATAATCATACAGGGGTCTTATATTTCTAGACAAACACCACAGGGTATCCAAGACCTGCATTGGAGTCTCTTGATATGCTCGGTTTTAAATTGCATCCATTCCTGGAGGAATCCTGTGTCCTGTCCCTGTAGTTAAAGCCGGATGGTCATGGAATTTAGAGGTTTTTAAGAAAGTTGAGAGTGCGATGGGATACCAACAATCACATTTGCCTTCTACACTGAGTTGCTTGTAGCTTTATGAAGCATTGCTTGAGTGATGCAGAAGTACAGTGCAAGTGGAAATAAAGTTACATTCAGCAGATCAGCATTTGTTTGTTTAAGCGCAAGCATTAAAGGCAAGATACTGGAGCCTTTTGTAGGCTTTAGCCTGTGAAAGTTTGAAAAGATATGTTTCTACGCATGAAGCTTTATGCAGTCGTGATGCACCCATAAAGTTTGTTTCTTCAAATTTCGATTGAAAGAAAATGACGTTACTGATATAGGGTTCCTTTTGTTATGCATGTACATTTATGCAAGTGTAAACCCCTTCATAACCAACAATGCCTGCATCTGTCATTTCCCCCTTCACGCAAGTACTTAAACTTAATGCAGTACCTACATGTACATGTACGTGTAAACCACCGTCAGCGCGACAGGGGAAGAAATCAGTGATAAACAACAGCAGTAAAGTAACTTAAGTCTTAATGGTAGCACAGTAAATCCCTGATTCATACAACGTCCTTTGCGTTTGAACCAAATGTTCATCGCAGTCAAAGAATTTTTGTCACGACACATCCCTTTAACAGCTTGAGCCAGGTCTAAAGCCCTTCAGGCTAGGTTTACATTTACTGGGCTTATTTTACCTGGCCGTTAATTGAAAGGGGAAACCACTTCAGATCCAGCCAGCAAGATTTGTTGCATTTTGTTAGGTCAAGCGGCAAATTGAATTGGCAATTGGACAACAGCACCTGTAGGTTTTTCAATTAACAGCCTGATGTGAAAGGTACATGTACATGGGTATGCCCCATGGGATCTATGCATGGGGGGGTTGGACTGTAAAATGTGCATTTGCCTGTACATGTATGTTTGGATGGGCTCTGCTGTTCCCATCAAGAGGTGTAATGTTGTGGGCGCTCAACAGGTTGATGAACATCGTGCAGCAATAATGTTTTGGGCATCTGGTGGCCAAAGTTGAAACTCCTCGGCTCCGCGAGTTGTTTGCCTTTCGGTACGAACATGCGCATCACAGGTTTTGGATTTGAGATGAGTTTTATAGGTCTTTTGTCAAAATGAGGGAGTGGAGAGAACTCTACCAAACCACACGGTTTAAGTCAAGGTGCACCTTGCAATGCCAGTAGGGTATCATCAGGCTGAAGTTATGGGGCAAGTGGCTGAAATGCTCCTACAGATCTCCACAATGTTCCTCGGTACCTGTACATTTACAGTGTACGTATCCATGTACATGCCCGTGTACCTTTAACCCTCCTGTGAAAAGATGCATTCTCGACAAAGTTGTCCTCTCAGTCAAAATCAGTCAAATGCATGTAACTCCTGTGTGTCTGTGTACCGTGGTCCATCAAGTGGAAGGAATTTTGGATTATCAGCGACTGTTACAGAAAAAGGAGGGCTATACCGGTGGGATTGATACACCGGTATCGCATGATTTCAACCAAAGGGGAAGTCTGAAAGTGAGACAGGGTAGAGCCAAACCTTCCTCCGACTTCATTTCAGTACAAGGTGGATTGGCCTTGGAGCTTTCAAACTTGCCAAGGGCCAACTTGCTCCCACTGACCAAAAATGTCCCCATTGCATTGTGAGGTTAAGTGCTGTATCTTGTTTGACAATATGGAATCAAAGTTTGTTGCAGAGTTTTGCCATGTGCATTGTGCATTGTCATCGGGATGGTTAAAAAAACAATATTGTACATGCACATTAAACATGTGCCCTGTACCGGTACTTTGTAAAGGCATGCACGCAATGCCATATTTCCATCCACTGTGTACATGTACGTCAACAAGTTTAATGTATTAACCAGCACATTGCGGACCTTGGGTCATCCGTCTGATTGTGTAATCTGACGCAGGGCCGACCTGATTGTGAGGCTGCATTGTTCATCAAGTGACTCTCCAGCTTTGCTGTGACTGGCTGACCAGTTTGTATACAAACATGCCACGTCGCTGACTCATTGTTGTGATGCACGGCAGGCTCCCAGGCACATCATTCACACCGTGCGTCCTCACAGATCAATACCACTGGACCAGAACACCAGTTTAGCTATTGGTGTGTGGATAGCCCGGGGTGGACGTTCTTAGAAGAGGGAGCGATTGGATTTCTAAGATGAGATGAGTGTGGTGTTCGGTCTCTCACACAAAAAAAGCATAGGCTTTACTGCTGGAAGTGGAAAAGATACGTTCTTATAATTGGGGGCCATTTTAATCCCAAGCCTGGCTGAGTGATGAGTGTTCAGCAGTATTCAAGCTGATCAGTGCAAAGAGCCTGAGGAGAGCGATTACCTGAAGCGCTGGGTTTACGAGCGACTACAGGCCCCGCTGGCTGAGTCACGGCCGCCGCGGAGCCTGGAGATTCAACCAACATCTTGCAGAGCGATTAAGCCAAGTACAGATTACGTTCTCAAAGACTGTGACATTGGTCGGAAGTTCTTAATATGGCAGGGCTACAAGTGGATCTCCGTCCCTGTTAACCCAGATACTGGAATGTAAGTCACACGTGAACATGCTCCACTTCCCCATGCTTTTCAATTTCACCCACCTCAGACCTCCAGGAGGACCGGTACATGTACACATGTACAGGACGTTGCTGCTGAGGCAAAGGCACAGCACGTACACAATTCGTTCGAAATGTGTTGAAGCAATTGGCTTTTTTACTTAAGCGCCTTATTAAATATTAGTGGAAGGCACTGTGTTTGTTGGTGCTGAGCAAAACTCAACTGTAGCTAGCCAACAGCATTAGTGACAACATTTACATTTTGTCTTGTTGCCTGATGTACTTGTATACACCTGTGCATACATCTGTAGGCTTGGTAGCAAATGATGAAATACTGAAAGCTGATTTGTAAGGTTTGTATCGCTCATTCCAACTGGGAAGACTGAGAGAGGTACCAAACTTAAAAACCCGTAGTAAATTACAAGTTGGTGTGAATTCAAAATACAGGTTGGTTTATAGGGGAAGAGCTGCCTTTTATATTGTTCATTTGAATGGTTTTTAACTTGACTTGATTCTGGTTGATCTCGAGATTTACTTGCGATCGCATTCATGAAGAGACTATTTGCCAAATGAAGAATTGTTGTATTGTAATGATGCATACTTTTTCAAACCTTTTGAATTCAGTGTCAAGATAAACATAGCAGTGTTGTAGTCGAGACCATCGCAAGACCATGCACAAGACCAGTCACATGACCAGACACAAGACCAGTCACAAGTAACAGTGTGAACACTGACAAAGGAATGCTTTTGTTGCAGTTCATTTGAATAGCTTGTGACTTGCATTCAGACTTGAGGTCTTGTTCTGGTCTTGTGAAGGCTGGCACATAGAAATTGACCGGAGTGGGATTTGAACCAGCAATCTTCAGAATACTGTACTCGTGCTCTAGCAATCGAACTCACCAGCCTGTATGTATGTTTGCAGTTTTTCTTTATTTGCTAATGTCTTCGGGATTCATAATTTTGCACTTGTTTTTTCCATCCTAAATTCACAGGAACAGATGAACAAGGAGGAGGTCTCCGGGTGAACCCAGCGTACCTTGAACAGGGCCAAGTCGCCACTTCGAGTACGACAAGCGGACAGCGGCGGGCCACGCACAGCATCAGCAACAACTCGGCGCAGCGACCACACCACTACTACAGGGAGAGAGACAGGAGGCACACGCTCGCATCGCACACGCCGGCGACAGCAGCGGCCCCCTACAGTCAGGTGAGTGGGACAGCTTTGCTTAGCAGGGGAGGAAGTTTCCTCAAGCTGGTTGCGAGATAAAGCTCTCTCCTTTCAAGCAGTGCGCTCTGTGCGTCCCCTGAAGATTATTGAATGGAACTGTTTCTCAGCAGAGATTTTAACATGGTTTGCCTGCAATCCTCTCACTAGTTCACCATGCACAACTTGAAAAAAACTCAAGCATCGTAAAATGACAGACAAGAAGAAGTCGTAGGCTTTCCTGAGTGGGCTCAATTAGTCAAACTGATGTTAAGCCACAGCCAGTTACAGTATGGAATTTCTGCATTAACATTATTGGTAACTGTTACTGCCACATTGTTTAGTTCAACACAGTTACTGACAATTTAATTATTCTTCATCCAATGGGAAAAGCTGTCAATGATTTTTTTTTTTATTTTTGGTCTTCTACTGTGGGGAGATTATTCATGGTTTCTTCACCTCCTGCACTCAGCCTGTTGTGGTTTGAGAAGATTTTACAGCGTCAAACTCAAACCTTCCCACATGTGGAATTCCAATACATGTACATGTACGCCAAACGCATGACAGCTCTTTGTGTACTTTTCATAGAAATGCAGAGTCCTAGCAAGAATGGGGGTGCCTGTTTCATTGGTGCTGACCCACTTTCAAGCTCTCCTCTGGTTCTCCCCCCCTCCAATTCTTTGCAGACCTGTAGCGGGCACTCCAGCCACCTTCCATAAATTCTGGGCTAACAGAATAGAGACTGTTGTGTGGTGTGACAACAAGCCGGCTGTAAAACCTGTTAATTGGTGGGCTCTCCTTGGGAGGCAAAAACAGTTTGCCATAGTTAAGGTGCCACAATCCATTAGAGAGCAGTAAATCGCTCTGCAAACATGGCCCAGTTTTTAAATCTGGAGAATGGTACAGCTCATCAGGGATTACATCATGGGACCCTTTTCTCCCAGCAAAGCATGGGCCTACCAATACAAGGGAAGCAAGGGGCTTTTATTCATAGGCATGAGGCCCTAACACATTGGGATATTGGGCACAGGGGGTACATGCAGGCTTCCCTTGTGCCATTCTTGTCCGCCTCCTGTAGTTTGTGTACACAGCACTTGGCGCTGGATTTACTATTGTCCAAAGGAGGAAGTGTTGACAAATAAAAAGTCCAACAAATTAACGCCAAGCACTTCAGTATGAGTTACCGAGAGCAGCACATACATTTGTACATTTCAGATCCGAGAATATTCCTTTATGCTGTACATGTTCGTGTAGGATGGAGTTTGGAAAAGTCCATTCAAACATTGGACCTTTTATCCTGTACAGTGTATATCCCCCCAGCACATGTATTTGGGAGTGGTAAGTCATAATTCATGTGTTGTTGGCCCTGTCGACAACATACTGGGACACAGAGGAGCGTCATTGTTCAGAATGCTTGCTGAGCACAAGCACACTTGTACCAGTCACACCCACAGTTTATTTTTGCAGGTGCGAGAGCTTCAGCAAAGCCCCTAAACAATTATCATCTGTGTCATAAATCTTGTGCAGAAAAGTGGAAATGGAATGCGCGTACATATTTCACGTGACTCATCAAATTCAGAATCCGTCACTCCCTCCCCTTTTTTTTTTTTACCAACAGTTTATGGGTGTGATATGTGTAGGCTGCCTGATAGTGTTTGTAAACTTTCTGTGCGTGTTGGGGCGGACCAGGCAAAAACATTTCCATGCTTACATTTTGCTGGCCTGAAGCCAAACCTCGATTGGGAGGGAAGCGTCATTTCTCATGCATTGTTTTCAATCTCAGTGCACGGCATTCTGTAACCTGACAAGTGCATGTGCCATTTGGTTTCAGTCTCTGCCCTGCCGGCTTATCTCCTCCCCCCCCTTCCCCATCGTAAAGTTCACTGCTCTGTGTTCACTGACTGCAAACGGTCGAGAGAATGGAAGGTGTAAGGCATCAAAACGAATTTATGAATATGACCTCGGGGCAAAATGACGATTTTTTTCGGTCTTCACGCCTGCTGGAGGGAGGTAAAGTGATAGTGTGAAAATGTTAACACACACAAATGGAATGTGGACATTCCACTCATGTAGACTGTAAACCTTAGTACAATAATATCACAGCAGTTTTACAGTGTATAAAGGTGCACAGTATGGTGTCCATCATTCAAAGGCGCCATTACATACAAGTGTACATCCCTGCTCGTTGGGTTTGTAGGATCTGAACCAACCATCTCAGCTCCTTTGGGAGTGTACATCACTGTCCCATTCTGCTGTTTAAGGCGCAACTAAACACAATATCGGTACCTGTGTGTACCCCCCACAAGTACCCGTCTACTCCTGGGGTGGAGAGAGGCACGGAGGGGTACAGTGACTGACATCACAACGTGTAAACCACCTGCTAGGATTCGAACCCCGACCCTACGTTAGAAGCTCCAAACCCTAGAAGTAGAAGGCCACATGTCCTCAGCTCAACATGTACCTCGAGCTCTAGCTCAGACCAGGGCCCAGTTCATTGTGGCACCAAGCAGCAAATAAGGCCACGTCCAAAGGGCCGCGGCTTGAAATTACATACAACTCTTATAGGAACTACGTGTAGCTGTGGCCATTACCATAGATTGTCGCATAATTTCAAGCCCAGCTAAGTACCGTAATTCTGACACGGCCTCATGCTCAGCAAATTTATCCATTTAGTTAAAATCGAGGGCCAGCTGTGCTGAGCAAAGAAAATTTCGACTCAGCAGAAATGGTCTGCCGCGCAAATGAAAGTACCAATCAGTGTACATCTTTTGTCTTTGGTTTCCAGCTGATTTTGGCTGTGCTCAAAAATTTGCTTAGCAATTTTCTGTTTCACAGCCTCACGAAATTGTGCCAGCAGAGGTAACCAATTTCAATAAGCAGGGCACCTCGCATACATAATTGGTTAATACATGTACTCTCTTTTACCGATCAACTCTCTTCCTTGATCAGTAAATCTCAGATACTGTGTGTACACATGTAGGTTCAGTGTAAGTGGCTATGCAGAATTTGTCCCAGGCCTGAGCTTTGCAGTACAAAAATACAGTAAAAGCAACGTCTGGAGAGGTGGAGTTTTTAAATTCCATGCTATTACAGCACCTCAAAAATACTGTCTTTCTTAACTGATTTCTGCTCCAAAGCCTGTTCCCATTGTAATTACATGCAGCAAACAGGTTGGCCTACTTACAACACACCTGCCCTCCCCTGCATATTTCTACCTGTAGGCTGTACTGCACTCAACATCTACCCACGTGGGTTCATAATTGTTGAAAGCCGGATATCGATCGCAGCCGCTGTCTCCCTTCAAATCAAATTAATGTACCGATATCGCTTTAGCCTCCCCTAGCGTTGGGCTGCTCCCCCCCACATTCAAGGAAATGAAAACCGCCAGAGTAAATGCCTTCCCATTTATATGGGCAACAAAATGCATTGTTCTGGTCGCTCAGCATCCCGGCCATAAATACTCAATGCCCGGCCATAAATACTCAATGCCCGGCCATAAATACTCAATGCCCGGCCACAAATACTCAATGCCCGACAAGGTGATTTGATATCATCTGTGGACCAACGGGAGATGCAGTCTTTTTCCCTTTTTTTTTCTCTCTCTCAACCAGAGAAGCTGAATCCCAAGTGTACGGAAATAATAGAGAGTATTACCATGGTACATAAATTATTCACAGTGGAATACTAGCATTCAAAGGTCGCGCTGGGCTAACGCCCCGCATGGTCATTAAAACAGGCGGTGCAATTTGTCAGGAATTGTTTGCAGTCTTTCTTCTTGGTCAAGAGGTTCAACTTCACAGCCACCCTGGTGGTATGTTGTTGTTGTTGTCTGGTTGAGTGTGTGTCAGAATGCTGGTAAATCATCCTGGCTCCAGATGCAGCTGAGCCTGAAGTCCGTATCTCAACGAGACATTGGTGCCAGAAATGTATATCAAGTTCCTTACTTTTTGTAATGATCGTCGGTATTTATTACTCAGATATAATGACAAGTTGTTACCACAGAGAACTTTTGCAGACGCGATCAGTTCTAAGGATAGTTCATACTGATTCTCCTTAATACAGTCAACCACTCATTCTTGGGGATGTTGAAGCCTTGGTCATTTAGCCATAATACTGTTACATGGACCTTCGTTTTGTTGCCTCTCTCCATCAAGATCAGACCAAAGATCATGTAAACTGACAGGGTGCTTGGCAACATTGTTTAGGCTAGGTGCGATAATGTTGAGGCATTCACGATAATGTTGAGGTATCATGGCATGCCCTTGTTCGGTGGACATCATAACCACAGTGTCAATATTGCCGGGCACTACACATTAAAGGAATGCTTTTGGCCTTGGCGGAATGCAGTCGTAAATTTTTTTTAAAGATTCGTCAGACTCGATGTGAAGTTTTTTGGACAGATTTGCTAGCATCCCTTGCGTCTACTGGTTTGTTGATGCAGTTGTAATATGGTATCATAATTTCACCCAGAAACATGAGCCACAAGTCACCTTCTGCTATGCAAATTAAATGAAACTTCAACATCTGTTATCCACATAATGTCGAATTTCATCAAGACGCTGCATTGGGCAGTCCACCAAAACAGAGGCCAGTTTATTCTTTCTAATGCAAAGTTGAATTTTTAAAAAAAGAACAAGAACAAATTATGTGAACATTTATTTTGTGGAATGCGGTTACAGAATTGGTCACGTGACTTGCACCTCCTGGTATGGGGTCATGGGCACTGTTCCAGTGCTTCACCAATTCAGTTATCCAAAGTTGGCAAAAGACTCAAAACACGAAAGCAGACTTCTCAGTTTAACATTTTAATTCAAGGGGAGGGTAATTCTCACATAGGACTTTTTTCTACCCAATTGAGGATTCAAACAAATTAATTGGAGAAAAAGAAACTTACACATAGTTGCAGTCCAAACAGCCTCTTTAAATGTGAAAGATTGACCTATTTTGTCAAATCAGTGCAGTGGCCCGCTGTTATTATCATTATTATCTTTTTTGACATTTCATTGTTGCGAGACATTGTCGGGACCTCATTTATCACCGCATACTCCTCCCAGTCGCTGTGATGAAAAACAATTTTACATCAGCTGTCATAGGGTAGGGGTTTTGTCGATGTCCCTTTTTTTTTTATCAAGCAGTGCTTGAAGAATCCTCCAGGGGTATGGAATGAGGTGTTCAAAAATAGAAGAGCAAAGATCGCTATGGGCCAATGTCAACCCTTGAATTGATTTGCCCTGGTAGTTTAGTCACAGTGAATGGCAAAGACATGTTATGATTAATGTCGAAGGCTTGTCAAATATCTTGTTTTTTTCTCAGTGGCGATGGCCTCACATCAGTGCAGATGAACTTGAAGAGCTTGTGGTTTCAAATGAACACCGCAGTTCTTCTTAAATGTCATCTGTTGTAATGTTGTTTATTTACGGGCTAGTCCCAGTGAGTTGTGGCGTGCTGCATTACACGTGCAACAGTGTCATGTGAGACTGAAACGCGCCGCTAGTCAACTGACTTGTCTGTACCACAAAGTTACTGGCGCTTGTGAAAACACCTAATGGAGATGAATCTTGTTTGTCACGAAAGCAGTAACTGTAATTAAGTTCCGTGTGAGCAGTGAGTAAAGGGATTAATGTTTAACAATGATTGGCCATTCTTAATTTTGGGGGTTTTTTTTTGTTTTGTTTACGTGCTTTTGTTTGTTGGTTGTATTGTTTACTGTAGCATAAAGTGTGATTATTCTTTTCCATCACTTCGCAGAGACCCACCACTAACGAGCAGAAACGGGAGTTGTTTTTGGAATACCTCAAGCAGAAGTACCCAGAGCACTCAGGCACAATCGAAATGGCCAAAAAACCTGATCAGGTGAGTTTTGACATGTTTGTATGCTTTATGTACAAGTACGTAGCGCCAGCCAGCAGCTTGTGGTGTGCAGCAGCGCCAGCCAGCAGCTAGTGGTGTGCAGCTAGGTTCGGTGTGCAAGGCACATTCTGATGCAGGCCCAGTCTGTCTCTTCAATACTGGGCCCAATTTCACCGAGCTGCTTAACGGTTGCCACAAAAGTTGTGCTAACTTTAGCAGAAAAATTTGCTTAAGCACTGTTTCACAGTGGTGCTTAGCGTGGTTGTACTATAAACATATTAAGGTTGTGCGCGCATGGAGATTTCTATTGTTATGTCGCTATTAGTTTAAGCAAAATTTTTCCTGCAAGGTTAGCATGCCTTTGGCTGTGCTTACTACTTACGGTCTCCATGAAGTATGTGGCACCTCTGTCAGCTGAAATCGTGTGCTAAGCAGCGCCATGAAATTGGGCCCTGCTGGGGGAGTATTTGTGTATAGAGCCAGTAAGGAACAAAGTCTTGTACCCATCAACTAGCTCTGAACATCTTATGGATGGAAATTTGTCCAGGAACCCTCCTGAATCGTCCTCAATCCAATACTTTGCAGAAAAACCATTGACACATTCCAAAAACAAATTAACTCCAAAGCAAGTTATTCCACCGGGCTATTCAATACATCAAGCCAGGCCATTCATTGGCTGTTAGAAGCGAGGCCGCTGTCCTCCATTATTATCGGTCCCACTCCTAAAAAAAAATTGGGGGGTAAAGATTTTGTCAATGAGGGTCATTGATGGGAGGGGTTGGCACTGGTTCCCTGTGCACATTCCAGCAGAAGGATCTATGGACCTTTTTCCTATAATGTCACAATCGTGCTGGACCTCTGATGTGTTGTGATGGCAATGAGTGCGTAGTGTTGTGATGGTAATCTACTTATTCAAAATAAACTAGTCAAGCATGCAGCGTTCGCGCGTGCGCTTGCACGCGGTTGAAGCTGTCCTAGGATTATGCGATCACCGGGGCCACAGTGGTCTACACGTGGTGGTATTGTTTACGTTTAGCGCAATCCAGTCTCGTGGGTGAAAAAGGTCCATAGGGAATCAGGGCACCGCTTCACTCCTTTGCGCAGCTGCAAATGGCTGAGGAGCTGTCCTGAGTGTTACATCGAGATCGGTGTGCCCCTGCCTCATTCCTCGGCATACCATCAAACTGATTCCCTGGACCACTTATAACCAAATGTTGACACGCGTTCATAAATATGTGACATGACCCATAAACACGTCATTGGTCCCATTAACTGTGAATGATTACTCACCCCCCCCACCTCTACCCCCTTTCCCTGAGGAATGACCCTCAGCTTAGGTCTGGTGCCCTCCTCCTAGCTGAGTACATGATCGGTGATTGATGATGTTGCTCGGAAGTTGGAGCTGTGTGGGGTCTAGTCTGCATATTTCCATTTCTATATTTTAAGAAGACAAAATCAAGAAAATGGGAGAGTTGCTGATCAGAGTTTTTGAATGAAAATTAAAGGTTCCCTGGAAAATCCATCTCTTTGTCGTTTGGATATGTGCTGAACTTTCACCAAGCTGAAGCAAATTCATGTGTTTTTTTCATTTGCCTTGTTACAAAAGGTTCCTAAATCATGCATAGGCTGCCAGGAATAACTGATTTTTTTTATTTATGGATACACATGTAGAGTTTTAGTACCCGTTTCACCTTTGATCTGCACATGTACATGTTGGGTGGGCACTGACTACAAATGTTGCTTGGAGCTGTGTGGAGTCTCAGTCTGCATATATCAAATTCGTTAACAGACAAGATGGAGAAGTTGTTGATCAGAATTTTGAATGAAAATTAAAGGTTGGAAAATCCATCTCTTGGTAGTGTCGGTATGTCCTGAACCTTGTCTGAGTGGAAGCAAATGCTTGTTTTGAATTGTCCTTGTCAAAAAAGGTTCTTAAACCATGTGCAGGCAGCCTTGAAGTACTAAATTTTTATACTTAAGGATATACATGTATATACACCTACAGTTTTACTACTTTTAGTACTTTTAGTACCCAGAAGGTCTATGTATAAAATGACAAGATCCTACTCTTCAGTTACTGCACATTTCAGTTTACTATGTTCTGCACTGAGCTCTTTGCTGTAATGTACTACCAACATGCATCATCATTCCCATTCATCATAGATGCCCTAATGGTCCATAAACAACCAGCCCTCTCAATCTGCCGCCCAGTGCAAGGTGTTTGCGCCAACAGAAACAAAGGCCTTAGTGTAAGGAGGAAACCACAACTTTCGACCTGGTGTCACCAGGCTGATTTTAAAACTACAAATCATTCAGTGGGCACTTCTCAATATCAGGAGGGTAGTAAATTCAGTCATCAGGTAGTGTGGGTTGTCACCATTATGTCCCTTCAGGAATATTTAGGCAAGGATGTCTTGAGATGCCAATGAGATGCTGAAAAGTGACCACAGCCAGGTTGTTGCTTGACAGATGGCACCGATTTATATATTTTGTATTGCACTGTATTCAGTGTAATATATTTTGTAGTAGTTGTTTCTGCTACTGTGTGACAGGGCAGACTTTTGGGCTTGAATTTTGATGTTTTGATGTCAAGATCTTTCAGACTTGATCAAAGTGAAAGAGTAAGAAAGTTAGGGAGTTTGGATATCACTGAATCATGGAGCTGAAAAACAGATGGCTGTCCGTCACTTTTCTGTGGCTAAAATAAATCTCATCACAGTTCAGCAAAAAGAACTCTGTCTTGAGACCTACCAGTACATTACTAGCAAATTTTATTTTAACAACCACGCAAAACATAATTCTGCTTAACAGAGAAAAGGCTCAGAGTCACAAAAGTGGATGGTTTCAGTTGCGTCTTCAGTAAGCAGGCCTGCATTTCCAGTGCAGATGTAAGATCTTTGGGGGGGGGGCTTATAGGATCCCCTCCCCCTCAGCCAGGGTCCAGGAAATGCCCGGATTACATCAGGGAGCACAGTGCTTCCCCGCCTGCACATTCTCTAACAGAAGCAAACTTGTCAGGCTTGGTTCAGTGAGCTATCGTACAACCTAACGGCTTAATATGCTCTAGCATGCAGCTTAGCCGAGGATCAACTGATTTCCTCTTTTTTAATAATGCCTCCCAGCACATTTGTGTATATGTGTGGTATCAGCCCTTCAGTAGGAAGTCTGGCATAGGAGTGTTTCCTTTCTCCAAACTACTTGTAGCAGCACTGCTAAAATGTGACCGGCTCTGGAAAAATGGGTAATAAGTCGTCAGATTCAGGTTATGAGTTTTTTTATATGGCTGGATTCTGTACATCAAAAGCTGCAATTTGATACATGAATGACCCCTGTAGTGGGCTGCGTTCTGGATATATACAGACATTTGTATATCCACAGTTTTGGATTCAATAAAAGCACTTGTAGCGCTTGCAAACACAATGCTATGTAGGATTTCATCAATTTTCATCTTTATTCATCAGTATCCATGTTTGTAGTCACAAATTCTGGAAATATAACTATTATAGAAAGTATTAAACAAAAAAAACACAAAATCACATTTTTGAAGAAATATTGCCCTCTAAAAATTGAACAGGCCATAACATGTTTGGGCATTGCACGCGACTTACATGTATTACCCTTTTTTGCAGAGCGGGTCACAACTGTACTTGGAACACACCTAGATAACAGTTGCTGTTATGTTACATTACTACTTTTTAATTGGTGTTATTTAATTCGGTACTACAAGTCTTGGTTTGCTGCTTTCAAGCCTTTGGTCTCTGTTCATGAGTGGACTTTTGTTCCTGATCCGCCCCCCTCTCCCTCCCCCCCTCAAAATCAGGATCCACCTCTGGACTGCAGTATAACCCCACCTTACATGCATCAGAGACAGGTACCGTACATGTTGGAACTGGAAAGCCAATCCACAAGTTGGCCTGGGTAAAGGCCTATGGGAATTGACCCTGGGTCACAAAAGCAGTAGCGCTGCATGTACCAACCTGGCAACCTTATCAACTGTCTTGCCGCATTTAGCTGCCAGAGGTGGCCTGTTGTTTCATTGCTTTTCAAACATAGTGATGTCACCTCAGTGGGAACATATCTCATGTGTGCACAGGTTCCTGCACCATTTTCCTGTTATGTACAGGGTTTGCATGCGGGTCGGCACATGCACAAGCCCAGGTGATCGATTAACACCCTACCCAGCCATCTCTCCTATGTTGGTGAATGGATGCTTCTAGCTAGAGTGGATAATCGGAGTTCAAAAATAGCTTTTCACAGCTTTACCCTCTGAATGTGGTTCGTTTGTAAGGACCTTTTCCATTCTGATTGTGCTTACAGAGTTCCACAAATCCCTACACTTCCAACATCCTCAAATCTAGGGATTTTTCACTTCACCACAATCAATCATGACAATACCTGACCAAGTCCAGCCGAGTTCACAGAGCGTTTTTGAAATGAGTGGATTCGGCTTAGGCTTTGGTTTCACTGGTTCCAGCCATTTTGAAGCAGTATCGAAATCACATGTTCAAGCTCTGACTGGAACCAGCAAAACCGAAGTCTAAGCCGAATCCACTCGTTTCGAAAACGCGCACAGTCACCTACCAAGGAATGTCCAATTGCAAACATTGGCACCTTGGGTCGCACTGAGAGACTTCCATCTTAATTACAGAATGACCGGGAAAATGGAAATGACCGGGCGGGAAAAAAGAACTCACATGCAATGAAGGCGTTCTGTGCATGTATACCTCCCCCAGGGATGAGTGGGGAAAGGTGTTTCCCCTGTATTGTGTGGAAAGGCAGTAATTATGTCGTATCCTGTGCCGTCTCAGTTGGCTTGTTTTACATTTCTAGAAAGAAGAAGGGGTTCATTATTTCTGAGATAGTTGATAATGGCTGAGAGATTTGTGTTCATTATTCAGATAGGTAATTCTTTTCGCTGCAAAGCTGCTTTTGTGAAAGGGAAAGTGGATGGAAAGGGTGATATTTGTCAGGATTTTCCCTCAGTGGAGGATTTTTTCCACCAGGATTTTACAAACAGGCTCTTTCAAAGTCTAGAAAAATCCTGAGTTTACCAGAACTGAATATTGAAGTACACAAGAAATGGGTATTTTTAAGGGGTGCCTTTAGGTAACCACAAATGTATACTGGAGACCCCACAATGCTGTCGTTTGTGGATGTTTCATTTTCCCTAACCTGACCCCTGTAAAACATAAATGCCCACATATTTTGCAATTGCCCTGCATCTGACGGACGGAATGGACAGTCACCACATTTCTTGTTTGGCCCCGTGTATCGTGGCACTGGGTAGCACCAGATTGTCTGATAAGAGAACCTGGGTTGGATGGCTTGATCAATAAATCACACAGCGAAGAACATGCTGGGGCTTCATCCAGGCGTTGGGTCTAGAGTTTAAGTCTCACTGGTTTCAAATTCTGTACAATGAGAAGAGATGCCTGTAGCTTACGAGGCCCCCCCCCGTTTGGACTTGGTTGAACCAGAGCAGTAAACGTGGCTTCAAATCGGATAAGACAACAATAGAAATGCCCTCTCATAGAAAAAAAAACAATGGTTTGGAGGGCAGTGGGACAGTAGACCTAAAACATAATGACAGCTGTAATGGCAGTGTAGTGGGATGGTATCCATGGAGTCCTCTTTAAGAAAGCGCACGTGTAAACAAAGCGTTACTTCATTATGTTTTAGGTCTATTATTTGAGTGGGTGGGTTGGAGCAACAATGTAAGGATTTTATTAGTTGCCTTTTCGTAACATGGGGAGGGGACCAGTTACTCAGACCCTTTGATGTGCTTGAAGGTCAAGCACAGTCCTTACTGTATTTTAGCACAACTTTTTTGCCAACCAGCAGGCAACTCCTTGAAAATGTTGCTTTGGTCCAATTTCATAAACCTGTCTGTGCAGAAATTTGCTCAGCAAAGGAAATGTTCCCTTAGCAGAATGGAGGCTACCAGCCAAAATTTCAGCCATCCATTATCTATTGTTGCTGGTTCCAAGCAGTATGTCCTGTGTAGCATCTGTGGCATTGGTACCCTCCCATAGCATCTGTACTGAAGAAAATATCTTTTGGGGGGGGAGGCGGAGTTTGTCAGTTGCCCTTGTTGATGGAATTTTCTATTTGCAGGAGTCGCTGACTTTTTCCAACGGCTTCTATGACGACGATGGCACCATGTCCGAGATGGACACCCAGGCTACAGGTTTCCAGCGAGGGGTGCGAGTCCGAACCAGTCTGCCAGGCTCTCGGCCGTTGGTGAACAAATCCAAAGAAAAACCACTGGGTAGGTATCTGGTCTGCTGTTCTTCATTGTTGGATAGTTGTAGAAGAATCCGGTGACCGGGGTAACACCATCACTGGTCATTTGCAGTGACCCCCACCAATGGGGGTAAGCATTATGCTGACCACTGTATGTTGGCACTATACAAAAACACTGTGTTTTGCCATTAAAGGAGACTATTTGGAATTCTCTGGATTCATTAAAAAAAAAAAACTGCCAATGATAAAATCCGTATTTGGCATTTTGTGATGTACAGGGTAGTCAAAATTTACTTGGTGTTTTCTGTAGAATTTCCAAATATGCTACATGTTCATTACATATTTGAACAACGCTCAGAATTCAAACAATAGGGAGACACATTTTGCTTTTGTCCACTTCTTTATTTGGCCGGAACTGGTTATTTAGTAACTTTAAAAACATAAAGTTTCAATGAAAAAGTGCCCCCTTTTGCAAATTCTGGGTGTCCCCGCCCCCCTTTTTGTAAATGCTGGATTCGCCACTGCTGAAAACTCGTTTATTTCAGGCCTTGTGTACCTCATCTACATGAGTGAGACCAAGCGGGCCCTGATGCCTAACGAGGTGACCGGCATGGACACGGTCAAGGCCCTCTTCGTCCGGGCTTTCCCCCGTAAGCTCACCATGGAGATGCTGGACAACCCTCAGAGGAAAATCTACATCCGGGACAACTCCAGCGAGATCTTCTACGAGCTGGAGAAGTTAGAGTAAGTCGGATCTTAACTGACTTGATGCGTTCTGTGGTGTGTCAGTTTTCCAACAACAAAAAAAAGTTTTTTAACAGCTATTCTACAGGGCCGTACTGATCTCCGAATTCATATTTACAATGCAGACTTCTGATGTGTCTTTGTTGCTTGGCTGTGACTTGAAACTACATACACATGACTCTAGTGGAAGTGGCTTCAGCTACTACCATGGACTTGTGTGTAAGTTTGAGCCGCAGCCAAGTAATTCATGCTTAGCCATACTTGGCAGTCACTTGTCACAGTGTAGAATGCTTGTACTACTTTGTGTCAAAGAGGGCGCTGTTACAAAGTCACATTTACACAGAAACATTTCACAGAAGTTTATCTTGGATTTCATTGGTCACTTTTGAACTGTTTCGTGCAGTGAGGTCAAAGACCGAGTGGTCTTAAAGATTTACGAGCCCGGCTTTGTCGAGGAAACCCCTGTTAACATCCGGAACTCCACCTCTACTCCCTTGGACCTCAACATCTGCTCAGATTCAGAGCTCGCCGACATTGAGCTCCCAGATTTCCGAGAGAGGAGCTACAAGACGATGGGGTCCAGGCCCACTGGAACTGGCCAGGACCGGTTTGATCCGCTCATGAAGCGGCCAAACAGCACGACCCCCATGGAGATGGGCAGTAGGAGAATGCATCCCCAACAGGTAATTATCACCAGCTAATTATAGAATCAATACTCAGTGGGAACCTGCCAGAACCAGTGGGAACCTGTCTGAGCCAGTGTAATTCCACCCAAAAAATTGACTCCCTATTCATAGTACCTAAGTAAGAAAATGAGCAACCAGTTTGATCAGCATGACTCCAAAGCTCGTTTCTGGGTTCTAATAATAGAAACTAACCTCTCTTGAAGTCATTTGTGACTAGTGTAGTAAGACGGAGGTGCCCTGTGATACAATTGAACTCCTGGGCCTAATTCCGTAGAATTTTAATCAGAAGATATTGCTCTGTAAATTCTTATACTGATCAATTATTTGCTAAAACCCAATTAGAGTTAATATACATCTCACAGTGTTTTGATTGGTGACCTGGTTTTACTGAGTAAATGATTCTTCTAATGCTTTATAAAAAAAAACTTCTCCAACAGTTCAACAAAATAAGGCGTAGTTTTCCAATAAGATCATGTCTAATTTCTTGTTCAGTTCTACACCCTTGCTTTTATTTCTTATTAATCAGTCCATTCTTGATGTTATTTTAGGGAAGACCCAATACCAGTACACCCCTCCGTTCCCCACCCAACAACGAGCCTTTCCAGCGAGGTGCCCCAGAGCGTTCCACAGCCCCCGTCCGTCCCTCTTCCCAGGCCCCCTTCCCCAGGGGCAGCCCCCAGCGCCTGAGCAGCAGCACCACCCTCCCTCGCCAGCAGCATCACCAGCAGGATGGGCGGAGGACGCCCACCAACGGGCGGAGCCTGACCATGCCCAGGCCCGGGGAGAGGGGACCTGTGCACCGGCCCCACCCTGAGCACGGCAGACAGACAACAGCCATGAGTAAGATTATAAGCTCGGCATCATATTCTCATCACTTTAAGAGGAGGGTGCAAGATAAAACAGGCAGTAACTTGAGGTTTGCCTGGAGGTTTTACAGGGTTTTCTAGGCTACCACCTCCCGTTATCCCTTGTTTAACTTTGCATTCTTTGCTAAACCTTTATTCCTAATGCAGTGTTGCTTAGGACCCTTCCTAAATCCTCCACAATCTACATCACAAGAGAAGACCTAATACATAAGGAAGCCATTTTTGATCCTGTTCCCTGAATCTATCACATTTAATGTAACATGTCAAATGGGGTGGTGCCAGACCATTTTGGGTTCCGCGTCTCATTTTCTTTTTTTCTAAATGTTGCTTAATTAAAACATTTAGATGTAATAAATCACAAATTTTAAATTATTCATCATCTTAAAATAAAATGAATCTGTAATGAAGTTTATGTCATTGCTTTCATTGTTATTTGTAGGTTCCTATTGAAAAAAAAATTAACCTTGCTTTCAATTCAACATGGCCAACTTGAAAATAAGGCCAATTCAGTGGCACACTCTGTAGGCCTGCAGCATGGAATACTGATATCCTCATATATCCTATGGCATGTCTGAAAACCTTTGCGTTAAACTTTTCTAGGAACATTAAATGTCCCGCAAACACTTCCAAAACCTCTCAGAGGATTTATGAAGGATTTGGAAGAGTTTGAGCCAAGCTGCTACTTTCAGCTAAACCGTCAGTATTGAGTTAATATCATTGATTGAAATGCAATCTTTGTAATGTTACAATTGCCTAAACCTGAGCATGGAAGTAAAGGTATAAGTTTCCCCATCTGTAATGCATGTTCTGTGAAATCTGAGAGAATGACAAGACAGTTGTTGAAAAATTACCACGGAGGTTTATTTTTTATGCCCATTCAAATGTAAAAAATTATTTGCAAAGTAATCATTTCATTCTGGAAGAGAGTGGTTTCTGTGTTGGTTAAGCACTGGGGTCTTGGATTCACATCACCGAATGATCAAATGTGGTTTGATTGCTGAAAATACTTGTTTGTGTCTACAGTGCCTGGGCCGGGGCCAGACCCATCTAGGCATCCACCAGTAGATCGACATAGGGACCCCCACCACCCTCAACAGGGTGGGGGTGCTCGCACCCTGGAGCGAGGCATGGGCCCACCCAGGGGAACCCCACAGCGGACGCCCGACCCCCGGGATGGGCCCAGGGGTGGAGTCCCACCTCCCCAGCATGCCAGGGACCCACCATACAGGGACAGCCCAAGAGGCCACCCCCCACCGTCACAGCAGCAGGGAGGTGGGGGGAGTCCTGTTAAGGCCCCACGGGGTGAGATGCGGACGGACGGTCCACCATATCCGCGGCAACCACTGCCTCATGAGATGCAAGGACGACCCCCGAGCCGGAACTCAAAGTGAGTCGCTTTCGTTGACATTTCATCACTTTAAAAGGTGACTTAGCTCTTCATCTAAGTAATTACGTGTTCGTTTTTTTTGCCACGGTCAAGGAGTAAAAATGGACTTAAAATGAATGAAATTTCATTTCATATTATTATCTGCCGGAAGTTATCATGAATATATCGATGTCTTGCTGGAACACCGTAGTAAACTAGTCCCATGAAATGAATGTAAAGTCACCAGTTCAATAATAGACAGAAATCTTGAGATTAGTTTGCTGCAGTTCATTGGAAAATGAAACTCATTAGGACTCATTTTCGGAGTCCGATCACAATTGATCCAGGTCAGTCAGGTTCATTGATTTGTGATAAATGACGGTAGAGACTTTATCTTTCAATTGTAGTCAAGGAATGAGGCAACCACCTCCGAATCACATGCATCCTGGCCCCAACAGACCCCACGACAGAACCATGGACAGAGCTCATGACAGAACCATGGACAGACCCCGCGACAGAAGCATGGAAAGACCTCGTAGCACACCTCCACACCGCGTTGAGCATAGAGGGCTAGGACCCCCACCCATGAAGCATCCTCACCCTCCTCAGGCCAACATCAGAGAGGTTGAAGCAAGGATGGTCAGACAGGGTCAGATCTCATCCACGTCACCACCTGGAGCAGAAACCTCGTGAGTGCTTCATGTTTCTGAAATTTGTTTTTTCTTGACAAGAAGTGAATGACCTTTAAATACTTTGTTGGGAACATCTAAATCAAAATGATAAACATGTCCCGAGGCTGTCACAGATAGCTCTCAAAGATGGTCACCATCCATTCTGTTAGGCATTCAATTTCATTGAAATTTTATGACCAGTTTAATATTCTTTGAAATAGTGCACAAGTTTTTGTGCAAAAACACCTCTGAGACTCATATTTGCATCTTATAAGGAGAATGCTTCATCAGTTTTCTAAGAATAGATCTCTAGTGTTTAAGCTGTTGGGAGACAAACATTTAGCAGTGGCTGCTTTTCCGACTTGTAAGCATTTTTCAAGCATTCCAGTTTTGTTGGGTTTGCAAACTGCTGTGCCACATGTGATTTTGAGAAATCCTTGGTTTCACTCCCAGAAAGAAGTAATAAAGCTTGGATGCTGTAATCTGTCCCTATCTTCCACCCCCCCCCCAAAAAAAGTTGGATCTGCATTTTGACAGGTGCAATTCACCTATCTCAATCATTACAAGTGTTTATTCCCCCCCCCCATTCCCAAGGGAGAGGATAACTGCCATGGAGCAGCAGATTGCCAGCCTGGCCGGTATGGTACGCTCGGTCCTCAAACCAGGCGAGCAGCCTCCACCAGGCCAGCAAACACCACCACCACCTTCACAGCAGCAGCAGCTGGCCCAACAACAACAGCAGCAGGTCAGCTCTCCGCAGAGACAAGTGCAGCAGAGGGCCATCACAGATCGATTAGTCAGCCCTGTGCAGGTAAGAACCCAAAAGTTGTGCGAATTCCTCTGAGATGTAAACATCGACAGCCAAATTTTGTCGACTGGTTGACTCGATTCATGCTTGGCAATGAACTCCCAAATCCCTCTGCAGTCTTCAAAATTAGAATACTGCCAAGTCTAAAACTCTGAACAGGCCCTATAAAAAAGGGGTGTGCTTGGAGCTTTCCAAAAGAGAACAGCAACGCTACAAATGTTAAAACTTTTTTCACCCCAAACTTTCAAAATCCACCGTGAGGTTCTCATGATTTTGGAGGATTGAGGAAAGTGGAGTTCAGTTACTGCTTCTTCAAATGGGATTTGGTGGACGTTTAATACTGGAAGGTGCTATTTGTTTCTCTACGTAGTACGGAATTTTCAAGAATTAAGGAGAGTTCCTTGGAATACCTAGGTATGTGCTTGCACTTAAAGATTCATCCCTGTGGTATTGCACCACCATTGATTTATCCAACTTGTCTGGCAGACCCCAAACCGTAGTGGGAGTGAGCTGACTGGCCTGAATGAGGAGGTTATCCGAGCCACGCAGAACCAGAAAACATTCACAGCTGTGGATAGTTACCGGGGTAAGTGCTTTAACCACTTCGCCATGTTGATTCTGCTGGGCCAGGTAATTTTTCATTTTATTTCTGTTTTCAATATTCTTTAAAAAATTCGGAACTTCATTAATTTACTAGACATTTTATGCACCCATTTGAGTGACTGTCTGGTGGCTACTCTAATCGGACAGACAACATCTATTGAAGCCCGAGTATTTCAGCCAGGCCTGCCGCCTTCTAAAAAGAGTCCAGATTGTGCGGTGTTATGTAACTTTCTTTTGTTCCCGAAACTGGCACAGTGCACAGCAGGCGTCTCTTCAATAGGGGCCAGATTAGCATGCAGCGGTATTATATCGCTCATTACTGGAGCGCTGGAGTGCTTTTGTCTCCAGTGGTAATCCGCGGGCACTGAATGCCACAAACAGTGGTATAATCATTCAAAACAATGACGATTTCCTCTACTATTGACAACTGAAAAAATGTTGGCTATTCCCAGCAACTCAGTCTTTTGTCCCTGGTACGGTCTTTTGTTACAAGGCCCAGCTCTTTTGTCTGGCTTCGGGCTCCCCAACTTTGTGTATAAAGCCTTTCTGTAGAAAGCCGGGTACCCTGACACGAAGTGGTTTATAGACCAATCCACTTGGAGTAGAGTACTTGCCATAGACCTTGCCATTAACCTTTTAGAAGAATGGCGAGCTCAACAGGAGGACGCTATTTGGTTTGGGTAAAATCTTTTTGTGTTCACTCCAAATTTACCCACTTCAAATAGCGCCCTCCTGTTATGTCCGCCATGCTTCTAAAAGGCTAATACATAACCACAGAAAAGGGAATAAACAAATCACATCTCTCATTACCATTCGAACGAGCGACAAGTAAAAGCCCTGTCACTGTAAAAGATTCCGGCCCATTTCCAAGTCTGAGGCTCAAATTTTTTTTGTCCAACCAAAGAGGTTGTAAATGTCAGGCAAATTTGAAAGCTGTTTTTTTTTTACTGGCCAATTCGGGCTCAGTCCAATTGAGAATGTGAATTCAGTTTTGTAACACAATGGCTAACATCATAACACCTTTCATTTCTCAGTAAATGTTTTGTTACTTAGCATTTGCACCACGTATCATCCAGTCTTTAACCTGACAGCTTTTTTTTTTTCACTTTGACTGCAACTGAGTATTGATTTACACCAGACCAGCCAAGAGACTGTTAACGCGGTCTTATCCAAACACCACTGAATCTAATGCCGTTTTCCTTGTTTGTTTTGTCAAGACGGAACTGACAGTCAGTCAGTGACCCCCCAGCCAATGTCAGCTGTCAACACCAGCGAGCTACGGGAGACCACGCTGAACCTCAAGCATACCGTCCGTGACCTGAGGGATCAGCTCAAGCAGATACGCAAGCTTCAGCTCAACATGGTATTGCATAAGTCCTCCCACACAGCCATCTTGGTCTAGTTCTCTTTTCGGCTTGAACGAAGATGACTTTCCAAATGTTTCTCAAGGGCACCGGGCTAGTTTGGGACAGAGATTTGTCATGTTATTTTCAAAAGATTCCTTGTGTTAATCATATGCCTGCCTTACCCCTCCTCAGGTCCAGGACATGAATGTGGCCTTCAGGGCCACCAACCGGAAGGTGCAACTGGCCTTAGAGGCCACGCCGGCCGGCAACGAGCACCCCATCAGGGCACTGCGGACCAGAACCCACCAAGACTATTTGAAGTACCAGATAAGCAGAGACAGGCTGGATAAACAAATCAGGTATTGCAGCTCAAGCAAACTCCCTGAAAATCCCTGGATTCTCCCTTTTGAAATTGTTTATAGCCACTCGTATGGTTGTCATGTTCAGCACAAGGTCAGATGTGTTTGACTGTATTTAAAGCCGTCGGCTATTTCTACCTATCTACAATAAGTGTGGGTCAAGCACTGACCAATTTTACCAAAAAGATTTCATCAAATTTGTTTGACAAGGTCCCTTTTTGAAACCACCCGTAAACTGTTGGGTCCTCAAAATTTGGCTACCTTTCTGTAATTCTATCAGTCCCCTTTTCTGTTGTATGGCAAACCTAGTTTACAGATACATGGACACACCAGTAGAGTGCAGAACTTGTAGGAGTTGATTCAAATAAGATCACAGGTGATGATGCTGAGCTGCTTTACAATGTTATAGTATGTTCGGTGTTTGTAGACTTACAATGCACATGGTTCAGACTTTAACATGCTCAAGGGTTTTGCCTTTCAGACTCCAAACAAACCCTTTATAACTGCAAGATCCAGGAAGATTTTTACAGCAGACTTTCTGCCCCCTTTTATTATTATTTTTTGGGGGGGTTCTTTTGTTGTTTGTGTATGCGACTTGCAGGGACTTGGAATCGGCTGTGGAGGAGATGCGCGATGACGTCGTCAACCGCCACTGTCATGTCAACTTGGCCGAGGTGGATGCTCTGGCCCAGGCCATCGGTAACAGCAGCAAGCACATTGCTGAACAGAAAGGTTTGTCCTGAAATTTCTCCTTATGAGGAAGGAGCCAAAAATAAAACTCAATACAGTTCCCAAACATAATTGCCTGTTAATACGGGCGATTCACAATAGTGCGCCTCCAAGAGTTTGCAATATGTTGACCAATCACAGTGCGACAAATCAGTCGACCCAATGCGCGTTTGAAAAGGGTCGACAGATTTCACGCGCTGTGATTGGCCAACGCGCTGCAAACTCTTGGAGGTGCACTGTTGTAAATCGCCCGTATTCTAGAGATGGAAAACAGATGTGCTTCTCAAAGGGCCATCCTGTATGATACGTCGTGAATCAAGTTGGTAGTTCTAAGGATTTTAAGCATTGTTGCAAATCACAAGTAAATAATCAAACTATGTGCCATCCCACCCACTCTAAAGATACAATGCTATCTATGGTTACTACTTTCAAACTAGAATCGATAAAGTGTGGTAGCACATGTAGTGAAAATTTCATAAGCGTGAAGGCACGAACGTGGCTGCCTCTTGCCTCGTTAAACACTGCATTTTGTGACTTTCTTTGATCTTCTCCAACTTCCAGTTGCGTTCCCAGTCCTGGCCGACAAAATGAAAGCTGTCATGCAGGGAGAGATGGAAATCGTCGTCAGCGAAGAAAAGTGAGCGTTATTCTAATGGCAGAGTCTTGGGAGGATAGTGTTTATTGCGGAAACAGTGTCGTTGTGAGTCCAGGCTGGCATATACTAATCTCAGCATCACGTTTGCTTGCTGTTTGCTGTTCACAACTATGGAACACAACAGTTAGATTTTTATTTCTCATTTTTGGGCCTGTCTCCACATTCCTGCTCACAAGATAATGCTCAATGATACATTTGACCTCCTGTCGACCTTCTACGGATGCATCTGGATCACTTGTCTAGAGCTAGGTCTAGGTCTTCACTCCATTGTAAATGCGTCGAGACATGTAGGCAAGGGACCTAGCCGTAGCTTTGGAAGCCCGTTTTGGACACGGCCTAAGGACCTCTTCAATAACAACAGTCTGTCATCAGTCTGCCTTAGTGATTGGTGCTAAGGAAAAAGCCTTCAGGGTCCAATTTCATAGAGCTGCTTAAGCACAAAATTTGCTTAAGTGCGAAAAAACCTTACTTGATAAATCAGGTAACCAGCCAAAACTCCGTGTGATGTATATTGTTTTGGGATTGTATTTAGCTGTTTTTTGGTTAGCATGACAATCGGATAGAGTTTGAGCTGGTAACCTTTGCTAATTAAGCAAAGTTTTTTCCTGCTTAAGCAGATTTTGTGCTTAAGCAGCTCTATGAAATTGGCCCAGATTGGTGCACATCGTAGCCCCTCGCCCTTTTCTTCCGGTATATTTCCAATCCCTGTCTCTCCATCTTGTGTGTTTTTTCCCATATTGCCGAGATAACAACTATGCAAACAAATTGTCTCATTACTCAAGTTTCATCAAAGACGAGCCGGGCAAACTGGACGACTACATGAAACGCTGCAAGAAGGTCACTAATACGCTGTGCACACTGAAGAGGTAGGGTGATCCTTTGTGTGGTGCAGATGATGAATTCGAGCCTAGTGCGGAAACCTTATGGCGTAGATTGAGAACTTGTTTCCACTTGCATCTCTGTGCACCTGGAGAGTTCTTGGTTAATACAGCTGTACACCTTAAGGAACTGAAAGAGTCTCTGTATAGAACAATTTATTGTCAAGTTGTCCAAAACTTAGAGCAATTACAGGATTCAATTTGGAGTATTGCACGTTTAGATGGGAATCACATGCTTCTCTGGGGAAGCAGTCTGGGTGGACCAGGGCCACATTTGGAATAAGGACTTGGTTTCTTGATTTCACGTCCCTGACTTTGGAGGTTCTGGCTCAGTATCAGTCGTTTATTGCACTACAGCAATATCAAGCCATACGATATCAAGCCAAAGGTGGGACTCGGAATCTGTTTACATTTTTGAGGGCTAGACAAAGAGTTCTGTAGCTAAACAGCCAATGCCACTGACTAAGTTGAACTTTGAGAAAGCACCCCAATGATCCTACACGAAAACATTTGCCCAACCAATGAAAAGTGCACTTGAAAGCACACTGCCACTTTGCACAAGGATCGTGTATGATCCATTAGCAAGATTGCACTTTTTTTTCCCACGTTCCTGAAACCTGAAGATCCACGATGTAAAGACAAAGGGAGAATGCAAGATAAAACAGGTGCTAACTCACGGTTCAATGCAAGGTATTTTCAAGTCTAAGAGGATCTGGTGGGTTACATTTACCTCAGCGTCAAACCTGGAGTTACCCTTTGTGTCATTTTGCATTCTTCTTTCACCCACATGAGCACTTAATAAGGTCAAAGTTCACTTATCCCGACCTCATATTGTTCCATCCACTTGCCCTGCCAGGCTTGCCTCAGTCCAGGAGCACCGCACTCCTGTGGTGCCGGTCTTTGAGCAGACCTCGCAGCCAGTTAACCGGGAGGCCTTGATGGAGACCATCCAGAGCATCTCTCCTAACCATGAACAGAGGGTCAAGAACCTACAGGTAGTAGTGCACAGGCATATTTCCACTTTTATTTTCCCTAGAAGAATATTATTTTCCACGACTAATTTTGTTTATCCGGTCCACCAGAGTAAATGATTTGCCCAAGGTGGTTAAGGTAAATGTAGCACCTCAAAAGTTCAAATGCTGTTGAGTGTATCTATCAGAACACTGCTTATACCAATCGAGAACTTTCCTGTACTTTCCTATAATATCAAAATGGTCAATTCCTTTGCAGTCTTTACTCTGGAACAGCAAGTTCCCATTAGGAATCTTGCAAATTTCTAAAGAAATGTGACCGTGTGCCTTAAAAGAGCACTCCTGTGGGAATAGGAACATGAGGCTTTTGAGACACCTCCTGGGATCATTTTCAGGAGTGCATTGTCCAGCTCAGCATTAAAAGTTGAAAAACTAGATGTATAAAGAGAGCTCTCCATTTCAAGGAATGTTTTAAGAGAAGTTTTGATTCAGATCAAGAATTTGGATTTATTCATAGATTTTGTGGCCAATGGAAAGTGTTTTGAAATGCTGTATGTGTTTTATTTAAGGTATCAAACATACTTTTGTGCGTTATGAATAACATGTTTCTATGGTGAAATGCATGTTTTTATTTGGACATTCTTTGGGATGATCTGTTTCTGTGGTTGGAATTCTTGCGGGTAATTGCTTGGTAAGTTGTGTTGCTGTTGGCTTATTGTGCACTCACTTATCCAGATTTCAAAGCAAACCTGTGTTAACCACTTGCTGCCGGGTGGTTTGAAAAATGCAGTGCACATAATCGGGACTTTTCCAAGATTTTCAGTTCTCAAAATTCTTCAAGAATTCATCATTTCAATTAATGGACATTTACACCCACACAAATTACTGTCTGGTGGCCACTCTAGTCTGACAGACAAAATCTATTGACGCACGACTATTTCCTGCCAGGCCTGCAGCCTTTGAAAAAGAGCCCAGATTGTGCGGTGTTATATAACTTTCTTTTGTTCACGAACCTGGCACAGTGCGCTGCTGACCTCTTTTCAATAGGGGCCAGATTAGCGTGCTGTGTGGCTTATCGCTGCGGTGGTGAAGCGCTTTTGTCCCCGGTGGTAATCCACTTGCTCTAAATGCCCCAAACTGTGGTATACTGTTTCAAAACAAGGCTTGATTATCTCCTCTGTTGAGAGTGAAAAAAAGTTGTAAATGCCCAGCAGCCTGGTCTTCTGTTCCAAGTACGGTCTTTTGTTACAAGGCCCAGTTCCCTTTGTCCCATTTTGGGTTCCCCGGCTCCGTGTATAAAGCCTACGTCCTCGAAAATGGGTCCCCCGGCAGCAAGTGGTTAATCTTCAGGTTCCTCTCTCCAAACTGCCATGGTGCTCAATCTTCTCACTAACCTTTCCGTTAACAGGCGGCCAACGAGTCCCGCGAGCGCAAGCGGCGCTTCCACACCGCCCAGGAGCTGCACCGCTTCCAGATGGACATTGGCCGAGGGCGGCAGACACTGCGGAAGACGCCGAACCTGGAGCGGGTTGACCAGCAGCGCCGGGCGGCTCTGCGGAAGCTGTACCAGAGCGAGGAACATGACAGCTTGACCCCGATCCTGACCCCGGAGAAGATGGCCAAGCAGGAAGGGAGCAAGGGGGGAAAGAAGAAGCAGCCCCCACCCCCTCCTCCCAAGAGGACCTACCTGTCCCAGCAGGCAGTGGCCTCACGCTCGCCCGCGACATCCCCCAGCTCTCCTGGAGTTCCAGAGCCTGGACCCAACCCGACACCCAAGCCCAAGTTGGTGGTGACTAGTTCGGAAGACAGCGAGGCCGTGCCAGTCGTCCCGCCTAAGCCCGCCATGATGATGCCCAAGTCCAAGCTCCCGCAACAGGTGGATGATCCTAGTTCTGCACGTTCTGCCCCAGACCTTAGTTGCATGAATAGCACGAGTAGTGTGAATTCCGAGTGCCTGTCCAGTCCTGTTAGGGACCTGCAGCCAACGTGTGCCCTGTCCCCCTCAGGTTGTAAGAGTGAGCCCTTCCTTGCCACCTCAGAGAATGCCCAAAGTAGCATGACTAATCCTAGAAAGGTGGTCCTGGCCGCTCAGCGAGTCGGCAAGCCTGCAGCAGACAAATCTCACCAGTGTGTCTCTGGTCCCGTTCCCGGTACTGTCATGACAACCCAGAGTGCACCAATGAGGTCTCCAAGGGGTCAAGCCACTCCCCGGTCAGGACAGACCTCCCCTAGGGGCGCGACCTCCCCACGTGGGGTAGTCACCCCCGAGGGGGGCATCATGCTGTCTCAGGGGGCAGTGATGATAGCTAAAAGTGGGTCTGCCACTTCCCCTGGCTTGGCCACAACCCCGCAGCGCCAAGCACCTGTCCGTCTCCTGAGTTCCAGCTCTCAAGCGAGCCCAACCAAGACCAACTCTCCAACATCTCCACAATACAAACAGTCTTGCATCCCCGTTCTCAAACACTCTCAGCATTCCAGGGTCCAACCACCTACCACAAAGGTCAGTGAAACAGCAGTTTCAAACACACACACTCAGCAAACTAGTCCCCCAAGCAATCCATTGCCCCAGAGGCGGTCCAGCGTCCCTTCAGCAATGGATGTTGCACCCCCTCCCAAGCCCCCAAGAGGTTGCATAGATGACCCCAAAGAGCCAACGGATGCACCACCCCAATCTGCTTTCCGTCCCCTTGCCATTCCGGGCTGGCGGGAAACCAGCTTAGACGAAGTCCCACTGAAAAAGAGCAAAGTGCGGCGACACACTGTGACTCTACCTCAACACCAGAAACGGAATGGGTGGGTAGCACCTGTTACGGATCCTCCCCTGAATAGCTCCCCACAAAAACCACAGCCCTCACAACAGACCTTGCTTCCAGTCCAACAGAAAAGCCCAGTTGGCAGATCTGTCATAACAAATGAACCAAAAGCTGCACCCGTCAAACAGGGTGTCTTGAGTAAATCCCAGTCAGGCACGGATGCCGAGCTCAATCCAGACAGGAAGCCCTCTTTGCAGAGACAGAACTCCGATCCTGGGGCCCGGCCACAAGTGACCATTGTGGACAAGAAGGGAGCCCTGAAAATCCAGCAGTTGAAGGAGCAGTATGCCAAGCTGCGGAAGCTCCAAGAGGAGCAGAAGTTGCTGGAGCAGCAAAGCACCAGGAGCAGCCCATCTCAACCAGAAGCCACTCAACAGGAGCAGCCTCCTAGAGAAGCCACTTCAACCGACTTGCTAGACAAGATCCCACCTTCAACAACTTTACAAGTCGACGTCTCATACAGTCAAGGGGAGTCCTCCAAGACGGAGGACCAAGATGAGGTGACGCCCCTCCTCTCCTACAACTCTCACCCTTCTCCCCTTCCAGCACCTCAGGCTTCTCCTCCTTATGCCAACAGCCTCTCGCTCATTTCAACACGTGCTCACTCCAGCCACCCTAAAGCTGGCTTTAAAAAGATCTTCAGCATTTAAATCTGACTAATCCCATGTGCTTAATTCCTCGGCCCATATTGTCACCACTGGCTTCAGAAAGTCTTTGAAATCTTTTATATCAATCCTTAACACTTTTCCTTTGTCCCGTGTAAGCAGTTTCGTCGTGTGTGATTGCAGTGTTGAAGAGAGTGCATGAACAATCAGATACAATTAACTACTGAATGTGCACATTGAGGGATTTCTGAATCAAAGAAAGGCAAACTGAAAGATTATTAAAAAAATCTTAAGATTTCAAGTAAAATACAAACAGTCTCTTGTTTGGGAAAGTACTACAGTGATGATGCTTTCTTTGAAATCTGATGTGGCACTTTGACGAGTGTGTTTTCTCAAACACAAATTTCTGTAGTTTTAAAAAGAAAACATTGCTTAAAATGATTTGTGCTTCCTCCAGAAATATCGCTGTCATTTCTAAGAGTCCAGTCTCTACAGTGGCAACAAATGTTATATGTTTATATTTATTGCCTGTTAGCCTTCGTCTTCTCAACATTTTCATGACCTGTTACCAAAAGAGGTACTACCTATGACCGATGTGTGATCTGTGAAAATCGCACAACGAACATGACAGAAGAATTGAGTACTGATGCCTTAAACTTGCACTTTCCTGCTTTGCCATGAATGTAGTAGCACTAGATTTCACTCAGCCCGAGTTTGATAATGTAAAAGCTCCTGTGCTGAGCCATTTCTTGTCAAACATCGAAAGCAGCTTTTTTCCTCCTCATTGTCCACTCATTATCTGTGTTAACGCTTGCTTGAATTTTCTTTTCCCTTCAAAGGTTCTTGCCAAGTAACTCGGGCTGATCACTAGGGTTTCTGCATCTGCTTTCATGGCTTCCACCTGATACGGAAGTAATGGAAAAGCCATTTTATTCAAATGGCCAAACATGGAAAACGAGGAATGGATTTAAAGCTTCTGAGAGAAATTTGAAAATTTTTTTTAAAAGCTTTGGTAGAAAACTTTCAGGACATTTTCCCTCATGTTTTTGTTTTCACCTCCAGTGAGACATTCTTTAAAATAGTCAGATCAAAAACTTGTCAGAAAGAGTGACCGATCGGTTTCATATGTTGTTTTTGGATGTCTCATTCACCAATATGTCAAGACTGTTGCCCTTTCTATCCAAGGATCAGTCAAAAAAAGCATTCCTCAAAATGATGTAGGAACCCTATTTATTTTATCCTTGAAATAACCTGGAGTGACCCTTAAAATTCTGATGTAGATCCCAATGTAAGTAGACAGTCCCTTTTGGCTACATTTGGTGGTTAGAGCGCCCTCTCCTTTATTTTGCAGTTCTCTTTAGTTGCGGAAGTGCAGCTTAAAGGCCCGATTCTTACTTGTCACAAATGTGAATACAAATGCGATACGTGATGTGTTGGTAAATATTGATACAAAAGACGAATACATTAAGAATCTGGCAAGTTTCAATGCAAAACGTGATGTGACACCAAAGCCGTGTTTGTGTTTGCTTTTGTTCCAAATATGAACCAGCCTTTATACAGTTCAACATGCAAGAGTATGGTTCCCTTATTGCACATATGAGACGTTCAAAGCTTGAACTATAGGCACCCAGCTGTTGTTGCCATATCCTGCAGGCCATGAGTAATATTCATTTATAGAATGCTTTAAACCAAGTGCAAAGGCTTTCATTATTTCAGTTCATCCCAGCCAATCCTGATCTTCATATCTTGCTTTTGTTGATCCTAAACAGAGTGTGTTTTTTTAGAATCACCAATGTTCTGCTTTCTGCTATCTCAGCTTTAAAATTTTGTTTGGCAGCCATTTGTTTTTCCTTTGAAATAATTGCATCCTGTTCCTTTCTCTTTTTTTACCAAACTGTGATCCATTGAGTAATAAAAATAAATTCTGGTCTTTCAGTCAAAATCACCACTTTTTATGTCAACTTCTCTTTTTTTACCAAACTGTGATCCATTGAGTGATAAAAATAAATTCTGGTCTTTCAGTCAAAATCACCACTTTTTATGTCAACTTCTCTTTTACCCTGGGATTAAATTCAAACCCTTTGTCCTCTGTGATTTTCTTGTTGAAAACCACATCCCTGATCTTTTTCCCTTTCAAATTAGCACACTGAGGCATACTTAGGTATATAAATCTAAATTAATAACTCATGCAAATTAGCCTACCAGAATAAAACTGTGGGATAAATAACACTGCTACTTTCATGCTTTGAAAAATCTTTGACGTTTTACGCTTAACGGCTATAGAGCAAATATGACTATTATGTAAAACATTGTTCACATCACAGAAGTTTCTGTACTTGTAGTTTTCTCTTACATCCAGGGTTGAAATTTCTCAGCTTTTTAGCTGATTTCAGCTTTTTTGTTTTGGATTTCAGCTTGTTTTCCTCACTGGCTGTGTACAAAAGTATAGGAGATTTCCACAGTTCAGCTTCTTGATGCCTTTCTTCAGCTATTTTCAGCTGTTTTTGTCATTGGTCAATCTCACCCCTGTACATCTATCGCTAGATCCTTATTTGTTTCAATTTGTTGTGAATGAAAAAAAGATTGGATGTTTTGGGCATCACAGTGAATGCTGAGTGCTTTCCTAGAGTTTGTGCAGTGGTGAGCTGATGGTTGTTGGTTCAAATCTTGTCCTTGTACCGGTAGGGATTGTTCTTACAGGCCCTCACATTCCTGGAAACACTTGGCAAGGAGTAACACCAGAATGGCATTTCCCTTTTGATGTTTCACTCAGTTTGTGACATCATGATGCTTACAGACATTCTAGGAGCAAAAACATTGATACTTCATGTCGATTTCTGTCATGTCAGACTTGACCGCAGTCTGTGTACCTTAAACATGGCTGTGGTGACTTGTGCTCCATTTTGTTAGCTTGGATGACAAATACTCCGAAAATGCTTTGAGTTAGATTTGTATTAGACTGTTCTTGAAGACCAAACACGCATTCCAAATTTTTGCATCTTGTGGCTACAGCTTTGATTGTTTTTTACCGTACTTGCACCACTGTAAAGAGCCAAAGCCACAAGATATTAGGCCTTGTGGGACTTGGCCCAGAAGCTGCTGTTTGTTTGTTCATTGTCCAACTTTCCTGCCTTGCACATGAACTTCTTTCAGTAACTAGCTTGCAGCTGCTTTGATCCCTTGCGTGCGGAGAGGGAGTTGGTTGCATGATGTTTACAGCTTGTCTTAGTTTTGCACTCGGCACTGCATGAGTGTATGTCACAGTTGCATGGAATACCGAAGTGTGACATCATATTGGACCGGGGGTGAAATGCCGAAGGAGCACGTGCGTGTGTTGGTTCACGTGCTGGTTCTGGTGCTCACGTCCTTTTACACATAATTGTGCGCATGACCCAGTCACTTCGGTACTCTTTTATTTATAAACAACATTTTAAATACTTGTGGGAATTATTTATTCTTGCTCAATGAATATTCACCATCCAGCTTACGTTGGCTGGGAATATTCATAACCATGAGCATGCTCATTATAAACAATAACTATACTAGAAAGTAACACACACAGAAAATCCCTTCAGATGTTTGGAGTCATCAAACCATTGCTTTCATTAATTAAATATTTAGACAAGGTATCCTTTCTACTAGCTTTTATTCAAATCTTAAAAAAGTCCTTCAATAACTGTTTGTTCAACCATTAAGCCAATTACCGATCTCCATATTCATATTCATATCAAGGCACAAATATTCATAATCCGTAAATTTAAGCTGAAAACATACTACTGATTTACTCATACATATTCATATTTATTTTTTGAAGTGCACATTTCTTTGCCCTGAATTGACAGCGTCTCACTCCACTGTACTGCCTACTCCCCTGGTGCCCTCGATAATACCCCTGAAAACACATCTGTTCTTAATAAATATTCAGTGCCCTCCCTTAACTGCATATTCATGATTTGTCTGGTCTCCTCTCTCCTCAGGGCTCAAGCTACACCAAACAGACAGTAGTCTACAGGGTTGGCCCCAAACCCTTTAAATCTGATGAGGGAAAACAGAGCAGTGTCCCCTTGGAAGAGCTGGAGAAGACCACCACTGTGGTCTCCACCAAAAGAGAGGTCATAGCCGATAGGTGAGTCTCCTTCCTCACACAAGCACGACATTTTTTCTTTGAGCAGAAAGACTTTATATCTGAAAGAACAATCTTGATTTTTTTCTGGGTCTGTCCTTAGTTCATACCTGGTACATTTTATTTTTGAGTGGAACTAAGAGATATACATGTACACATATATATATACATGATTTCTACAAACACTTGTAAGATGTATTGCTCCTGAATGACTTGGAGTTTTCAAGCTCAGTTTTGCAATTTTTTTTTATGAATTGTTTTGAAAGAGTTATTTTTCAAGAATTTCTTTAGGAACAGCTGAAAACTGGTTCAGTCATGGTTCTTTGAAAGTCATCAAGTGAATTGATGAGTCGAATCTCATAGAAAATCTTTACATTGCAAATCCATGTACATGTTTAGTGTTTATCAGGTGTGTTTGATTGAAATGGATAGGCTTGTGATCTTTAGCATATGCATTTGAAAATTTAATCAGACTTTCAATTTCCTCTTTTTCTTTCCTTCTGCTCTACTCTTACCCCCAAAATGTCCTTGCCTCCCAAACACGTTCGACTTATCAGAGCCTGAAAACGTCCCCGATTTCCCCCACCAGGCAGACTCTCGCATTTGTAGGTTTCCAAATGCTCTGTTGACTGTTGGCAAGTCTTGTCTTTTTCAGTGACCTTTGACCCCAGAGAGCCATCTTAAATTTTGACATGTACTTGAAAGGCTGCATTTGGTGCAGCCTTTCATTTGAAATGCACTGGGTTCTTGATATCCTATGGGATGATTTTTGGCATCTTCTGGTTTGGGTCCAAAGGTCCTGTCTCAAAAAAGTATTGGTATGCTGTGGTGAGTTCTCCTTCCTGGCACTGCTGCGTTTGTTGAATTTCTGTTGCTATGTGTGATTTTGATTCGATGGGGGACTCTTTAGACACTCGACGGCGGTGAACATACTGGTCCCATGTGACCCGTCCACTGTTTTGTTTGTGCTATTCCAAGCTAGTGCACGTCGGCTCAAGCATGACACAAACAACAGCCAGTCATGTGGGACTGGTACACTGCCACCAAAGGTCTCAAAGTCTCCCATTGCTTGAAAACTTTCCTTTTGTTTGGCTCGTTCTGTGTCCGTTGGTCGGTGTGGACCTTTCAAAATTGTCCGTATTCTTTTCCTATACAACCTGTTGTTTAAAATTTGGTCAGAATTTAAATTTTTGTGAAACAGTTCCAATTTCTATGTATAGCTGGGTCTGGATTACTCGGCTGTGGCTTGACCTTACGCATGAATATATGGTAGTGGCTGCAGCCACTTGCAAGAGTGCTGTGTGTGTGTAGCCGCAGCCAAGTATTTTGAATATGGCTTAGTTAATAGGCTCAAGTAGTATGGTTGAGTTGCATGACCATATATTGTGTGAGCAAATGCTTCCTGCAGCATGTGACTTTTCTATCTCTGAAAAAAACCTTTTCCTGTGCTATTAGCAAAATACCAGGTGACCTCGGCATTTGATAAACCATTGAATACACCACTGTTCAACCTTGGTGCACGTTGTACAAGTGCAGGTCACCTTATGCTTATTGTGATCGGTACTGGAAAAATTGTTCAGTTGTTTCTGAGTGAGGTTTTTTTGTCCTTTTTCAGTGTTGATGTCGATGAGTTTGTAAGGTGCTGTTTGTGGTGAATCAAGTTGAAGTATGTTATAGACCTTATTCACGTGGAGGCCATGTTTGATCTTATTCCCCAGACTGGCACCAGACTGTTTTATAATTCT